AAAAAAAAAAAAAGAAAAACTGAAACTCCAGAACATTCATGGTGGTGGTGGTGGTGGTGGTTGGTGCCCTCTTAACTATCAAACTCACCTTCTAAAATGTGTTTATAGGGTTTCCTATTTTGCCCTCTCACAGTTTCTTCCTGATCTGAATTCTCTCAAAAGTTGCCTTTTTTTGGGTGTTAGATTGATTGATTTTGGTGTGGTTGGCCAAGTTGTTGGTTTTCTTTATTTTGTTACTTATTAAAATTAAAAAGGCAAAGAAAGAAGAGAGCCCAGATGGTTTATGTTGGCCAACTTGCATTTTGAAGATCCTTCCGGACTTGTTTCCTTAATCACTTACAAAAGAGATCTATTTTTTCTTCTTCACTTATCATCCGTACGCTGTGTCTGTATTTAACCACCCCTTTAGTTCCCTTTTCTTTCTGGTATCACAATTTCACTTGAATTAATTACTCTTTTTTCTTTAAAAGAAACAAAATGTTTGTAAAGATGGCCAGCGATGTCGCCTCGAACCATGATCCCCATTTTGCCGGTGGAGATGCTCCGCCGGCGCCGGTCGAGCCTGAGGGTGGAGCGGAGAACCCTGCCGTTGACGACGCCGTCAAATTGGAGACGGGGGCCCAGACTGAGATCGGCAACGAGAACCCTACTGTCGATACCGGCGTGGAGGTGGCGACCGAGATATCTAAAGACGTCGCTGTGGTGGAGACGGTGGTCAAGTCTGAGGGTGGCGATGATAAACTTACATTTGAGGATGGTGCCATGGTGGAGATGGTGGCCGACCCTGGCAGCAGCGGCGGCGGCGGTGGTGGTGGCGAGAACCTTACTGTGGACGGTGCCACCACTGCAGAGGCGGCCTATGGAAGCACCGAGAATCCTCCTGTTCACCCCACCACGATGGAAACGCTGGCCAAGCCCCAGGCTGGAAACGAAAACTCAGCCGCCGTTGAGGTCACCATGGTGGCGGGCAAGGTCAGCGGCGCTGATAACCCTACACTTGACAACACAGAGACAGTGGCTGAAGGAGGAGATGATGAAAACAACAACCCTATCCTTGATGATGCCCACATGCATATGGTGGAGACAGCGGCTGAAGCCATGGAGGAGGACCAAGTCGTTGTCGAGATCAGCGAGGCCGACATATGGCCCAATGAGGATGGTGGTGAGGACGACGGCCTTCTCGATTCCTCCATTTTCTACCCCGATTTCCCACCCTTGCCGGAGTTCCCTTGCATGTCCTCCTCCTCCTCTTCCTCCCCTTCCACTCCTGCCGCCCCCTCGTCCGCCGGCTCCTCCTCCCCGGTCGTCTCCTGGCCAATGATGAGGCCCGATCCCGGCGAGGGCCTCCGCACCACCCTCTCCTCCACCGCCTCCATGGAGATGCCCCATCCCCCTCGGCCCGAAGATCAACACAACCAGCTCGGCATCGACGTCATGGGAAACTTGGGCTACATCGACCTCATGGACCCCAACGAAATCTGGGACCCTTCCTCCCTCTTCCAGACCGACAACCCCCACGACGAGCTACTCGACTCCCCCCCACCCGCCACCGTCCCCGTTCACACGCCCATGGAAACCTCGTCCTACCAGGACGAAAACGAAAACGAAAATGACGGGTTTGCCAGCTTCATCCACAGCAACGCCGAGCTGGCTGTCATCTTCTTCGAGTGGCTCAAACAGAATCGCGACTACATCTCGGCCGAGGACATGAGGAGCATCAAGTTGAGGAGATCCACCATCGAGAGCGCCACCAAGCGCCTCGGCACCAACAACGAAGGCAAAAAGCAGCTCCTCAAACTCATCCTCCAGTGGGTCGAGCAGTACCGTCTCCACAAAAGACGGGCCCCCGTCCAAAACCCAAACCCTAACCCGAATTACGCCGGCTATCCAAACACCACCTGTTACTCTTCCGGCCAAGCCTATGTGCACCCGATACCCGGTTACAATAATATCGACCCGTACGGGAACCCGATCCATCTCGTGCCCGTGACACATCATCATCAGGTCGTGAACGGGTTCTCAACTGAGTACCAGGTGATGGACCCCACCCATCCGTGGGCCATGCCTCCGCCACCTGTCATGCCCATGACGGCACACCCCACGCACTACGGGCCCACGCACTACCCAGAAAATGTGAACAGTAATCATCAGCCGGCGGTTTATGGGAGCAATCCCTACCGTCGGGTGTACGATTCGAGTGCCATGAAGTTGGGCTCTTTGGCCACGAAAGAGGCCCGGAAGAAGAGGATGGCCCGCCAGAGAAGGATGTACGCGAATCACCACCACCACCGGCATGCAGGTGGTGGGTCGAGCCAGCTCCACAGCCATTCAGCTGATGCTGCTCATGGTGAGGGTGATGATGGTGGTGAGTATTGGATGACAGGTGGCGGCTCGTCGGATCCTGTTGATGGGGGGCAGGCTGGCAAGCTGGCTGGTCTTGACCGGCGGCAACAACAGGTTGGGATTATATATATGTGGCTGGATTTTATTTTGACTTAATTTCTTGATTTATGATCAATTGAGATTGTTTTTGTATTTGGGTGTATGTAGGGTTTGAAGGTTGAGAAGAACTTGAAGTTTTTGCTGCAGAAAGTGTTGAAGCAAAGCGATGTTGGTAATCTGGGAAGGATTGTGCTGCCAAAAGTAATTTTGATAAATTTTCTTTATCTCTTGGACTAATTATTTTGTTTCGTTAGTTTAGTAGTTTGTGTTGTATATCGGGTAAAATCAAGATTATTAATATACATTATGATAAAGATATATGCAATTGTTCATCGAAACAGAAAGAGGCCGAGAGCCATCTTCCTGAACTGGAGACGAGGGACGGTATAACGATTGCGATGGAAGACATCGGAACTTCGCGAGTTTGGAACATGCGTTACAGGTACATATATGAACAATTTATTAATGTAATCTCATTTTGTTCGAAACTGCAGTTCATTTGAAGTTATCACTAGCTAGCTAGTGAAGTTGACGATATTGGTATTGACTGTATTGGAAATTATATAATTGGTGGCTTATCGTGTCAATTTCTGTGCCGAATCGCGTAAAATTGTGTGCCCATTGCTGGTCAAAAAATTGACTTATTTTTTAATGATATTGGAATTATTGAAAATTTGAGATTTTTTTTTTCCTTAAGGATTCAATTTAGATCTGGTCCAATTTTCAGGTTTTGGCCTAATAACAAAAGCAGAATGTACCTTCTTGAGAACACAGGTAATTATTAATTGACTACGAGAAACGGTTAGTCGTAAAATTGATTATAGTTTGTGAATTGTGCCGTTCTAATTACATTAGAGACATTAATTCATTATGTTCCTTTAGGGGATTTTGTGAGGCTCAATGGACTTCAAGAAGGAGATTTTATCGTGATCTACTCGGACACAAAATGCGGCAAATACGTAAGGGCCATAATGCTTTTTTCCTCGATCACGCCTTAAATACATGAATCGGTTGCACCAAACATTAAGTGAATAAACTATTGCTTGTCTTATTCGCTATTACTCAGATGATTCGAGGAGTTAAAGTGCGAGAGCCCGGCACAAAACCAGAGCGGAAAAAGCCGGTAAATAAGAACATACGCAATTTATCACTTGCCGGTCGTAAGAATCCCCCACTTGCACCTCTCAAGCTAGCCATAAAGTGAAAACCAAAGAAAACGTATGGGCCCTCAATGGTGAATCGGATGATATAGAAGTGGCTTTTGCTCGTTTTTCGTGCTTCGTCAAGTTTCATATATATGAGCAAGAAATGTCGAGTTTCGACAGGTCACATTTTATATATATATATATATATATATATACCGTAGTTAAGAGGGGCGAAGTATATACTTAATTGGAAGGGTGCTTTTCTGTCAAGGGTCCAAATTAACTAAGTGCATAAGTATATGTTATTGACTAATGTATTTAGTATTAGTAGAAGCTCAGTGTGATCTATGTAATGTTGTGTGTGTAAGTTTGGGTTTATCATGTTGTGTGACAATAAGGGATTAGCTGACCGTATCCTAAAGTATTATTATATGTATCCTAAACTTGTGGTTACTATGAATGGATTTGTTGTTGTATTTTGTAATTAAGCCTATGCGTGATTTATTTATTTATGTATTTATTTATTTCTGATAAATTCCTGATTTTGAAATTTATGATTCTTGTTACAATATGGGTATGGGGAAATAATACGTCCGTTACCGAACCATTACTTCGGGATTTATAGTCGTTAGATCATCATGTAACCGTTTGAGATAATTGATTTAATAACGGTTATGAAATTTGGCAGAATGGTTTTGTAACGAGACCGTACCATCTCACATCAGTATGTCATCTTTCTTGAAAAACTAAAAAACAGACTGTTGGGTTTGAGGAAGACGTTTTCTGATGATAATGAAATTATTGTGTTGTATCAGATGCTATGTGGACAACAATTTCATAATTGATACCTTTGATAATTGATGATTGTAATGTTAAAAAAGGCTAAAAATTTGAAATAAATTAGTGTCTGGATCAATTTATAAGAAGTTAATTGTGTAGGTAGATCAATAAAAGTAATTTGTACTGTTCATATAAGAACAATAAAAAATTAAATCAAATATAAAGTGAATCGGTGAGTCATCATGTTTAACACGATGTTGGATAATTGGAAGCGGGTTCAACATTTTCATCATTAAATATCACACCTCATCGCCAAAGTGTTCATGACAAGATACATTGTAGAATAAATTAGTAACACACTTTTAAAATTTGACACATAGAATTTTAAGCATGCAAGTCTGTCACTTAATCTCGTCACATTAAGAAATTTTGTATAAGGAACATCGTTTTTCAACTCGGACTGGCCTGACAGGTCGACCGGGGACCCGACCGACCCGGAGCTGGAACCGTTCCCGGTGGACTATTTGGACCGGGTAGCAATGGACCCTGTCAAAACCCGGCCAACCCCGCCTTGACCCGGTCGATATATTTTTTTATTTTGTTTTTTAATTTTTTTATTTAAATTATGTAAATATATTGATATAGTAAATATTTATTGTGACATAAAATTCTTTTAACACTTTAATGGACAAATTTCATATACAAAAATATTTATTTTTAAAAAATACCATATATAATTTAAAAATTTTTTAAAATTAATTTTTCGATTCAGCAATTGGCCCAGTGACCCGACAATTGAACATGTAATTCGGTGATCCGGAGACCTGCACGGGTTGATTTCCGAGCCGGGTTTAAAAACTATGATAAGGGGTTAATTATGAAAATTGATGTTATATGCAGTTGACGACATTTCCAAGAGCGGTTTAATTAGCAGTTGAACTCCCATGGGACTCCCTATTCAGCCTCTCTTTTAGGCTTCAATTTGATTCGAACATGGTGGGTGTTTAACATATAAATTTGAAACTCTGGTTGGCAAGTTATTTTGAAAATAGTGGGCTTTGTGATATAATTAGGTTGAAGGCTAATTTGTTGATTTTATAGTTAAAATATTAACTTATTTTCTATTTTATTCCGAATAGTAACGGAGATCTAGGAGTAGACGAGTAGTGGAAACCGAGGGCTTAGAGCACCTCCAATCGTATGTTAATTGCGAGATTGTAGAAGCAATCTGATAAAAGAACTTCTCCAGCGGGATTTTTTCTGCTTCTACTTATGTTGATGTGGCATGAAAGAGATAAAATTATTCTAGAAGTCCTTCTACATGTAGAAGTCCTTCTAGATGTGATGAGTCTTTTTTTTTCCTTTGTTTATTTTTTTTATTTTATATTATCCTTATATAATTTATAAACAATAAAATTTAATAAAACATATACGAGTATATAGTATTAACTAACAAGACTAACTAAACTTGAATAAAAATAAATTTATGATGTAAGTTGTTGATTAAATTATAGTTTGTTGGTATTTATTTGTACACACTTATCAAAGATAAATCAATTTACATAAAAAAAATAAACGAAAAAAATTGAAAGACTTCTAAAATCATATTATAATTTTAATGGTTTATATTTTGTTATAAATATGTATTAAAATACATAATAAAGGAGATTTAAAAAAAATACCGATACAAAATACCTATTATAAATTTAATAGTATATATTTTGTTAAAATTATGCATTAAAATACATAATAAATATCATCATTATACACTACAAGCACAATAGAATAATAAGATATATTTTGTCACCCTTTAACTGTGAATAAACTTTTTGTGCAATATATATCGTTGGTATAACCCTGCAATCTTTTTTTATTATTTTTTTATTTTTTAGAACAACAAAAGAAAAAAAATTATAAAAAAAAATTTGTATAGACATTTACTGTCTGTAGACCATTGGAGAGTTATATATGAACTTGTCATTCTATTCTATCCACGTGGATAGAAGCCATCTATTATATACCACAATGCACGTTCATCATTGGAGATGCTCTTAGGGCATCCACATTTGTTTAACAAAATTTCCATTCATTCAATCAAAAAGTTACACCCTCTCTCATTCACATCATATTTCCACCAAATCTCTCTCCATTTAAACACACACCTACATTCGTACCCATTCATTTAAATACATATGTGAGACCCATTATCCACTAATTCAATATAATTTTTCATATTCTATCCACAATAAAAATAAATTTTAATACTTTTAAATTATGACAATAAATTTTAAATACATGAAAAAAAAAAAAAAAAAAAAAAAAAAAAAAAAAAAAAAAAAAAAAAAAAAAAAAAAAAAAAAAAATTAGTTGTTGGCAAAATGAATAAATAATTATTTAATAGAAAAAACAAAAAAGAAAAATAGTTAAATAAATAATTATTTAAAAAACAAATATTATAAAAAAAACCATGCGCTGCCACTTTGTAATAAAATAAAGAATAAAAAAATAAAAATAAATGAGAAAGCAGCGTTCAATGTTGTAAACGAAGTTCCGTATTAACGCCCGGGGGGCGTTTAAACACTACAAATAACGCACCGATGTGGGTGCCCTTAGCGACGTCTCATGGCTCGTCGAATGGCGGCGACAGACTTTGACAATATTGTTTTTTTTAAAAAAAAAAAAATTATGTTGTTCAACTACTTTAATAGTACTTTTGTTATTGTGACATTTACTATTTCATGTATTGTTATAAAACCTAATTTTACAATATTTTTTTTTTGGTACAGGGACCTTCCGGTTTTCGGATCCACAGGGGAATCGACTAATACGGAATCGAGTCGGGTAGGACTATATTTTACAATATTTTATTGTTAATTGAAAATTGTATACATGTTGTTTGACACTTGTTATATTGTTGTTTTATGTTGTTGTTTTGTTGTTAGGACGTCTACTATCTTTTTTATTGTTTTCTATAACTTATATTATTAACTTTAATCTTACATGGTATCAGAGTCAGCGCCGACTCCTGCTTGTGTCTCTATCTCTACCCGGCCAATTCCAGCGTAGGTCTCTATCTCTACCCAGCTTGCTCTGCGCTTTGGCTAATGAATGACTCACGAGTGCGGGGGCGTGTTGGAGTATCACTTGTAAGTTGTCCCACATTGATTCTATATAAAAATTGGGCCTAGCTTATTATATACCTAGTGGGGTATCACTTGTGAGTTATCTCACATTGATTTTCCAGGAAAATTGGGTCTAGCTTATATACATTTTACAGGAAAATTGTGAGTTATCCCTCTTATGGTGCGCTTAATTTGGTGGGACCACACCCTCTTCCTCATGTTCTAATATGATATCAGAGCAGCTTATCCTAAGACCTGCAATGACTCTCTCTACCCGACCATCTTCTCCCGATTCTAATAATTATATTTATCATTGTAATTAGAGCTGTCAAAACGGGCCCACGGGGCGGGCCTACAAAATGCAGACACAATCTGCCCCCACCTCCTTACAAGAATAATCATTTTTAGCGGCGGTAACTAGCGCCACTAAAAATGATTATTCTTGTATCGGCCGTGGGTTTGGCGGGCCACGCTCGCTGGTTCTTTTTTTTTATGAATTACAAAAGAACTGAATTACTTTCTCCAACGTTAGAACAAAATCCAAGATTTTCCATAACATAAAGAACAACGAGCAGTTTGCTTCACCACGAATATGACCCTCAATTAGCCACAAAAACTGAACAAACCCCACGGTCTCACACCTTGTGAGGGCGAATCTAGCAAATAGAATGAGTGGGGACCTAATTGTTATTGAAAAAAATCATACTATAATAAAAGTATAAATACAAAAACACACATTTATAATATAGTTATGAGTTTTCATATATAGCTCAACATCATCTTATAATAACATCGTTGAATTTTTTTCATGGCACTTTTTTTTTGGCCAAATTCTAACAATATTAGAATTCGCCTCAAATATATTTAGAATTAAAGTATCTCATTTTAAAATATTTTAACGTGAACTTTTCTTTTCAAGACATATTTCAAAATTATTTCTCCATAATTAATGTAAAAATTGAATAAATTATAATATTTAAAAAACCATAATGTATAAAATGATGTACTCATATATAAAACATTTAAGAGCCTACAATTTAAGTTATTAACCACACACAAATTGTAATAGATGATATGTTTTATAATTAATGAGAAGCAAACAATCAATTAATAACTATAAGAGTGCTAAAAAGTACAATAAGTGTGTAATTTTTCTT